ACCGCAGTATGTCTGACCATATATTAGAATATCTACTTAACATTGTGTCAGTTTTGATTTTTGTACTTTTTTATTTGCAAATAAAATTTCTTTAAATTGCCTGATTTGTACAGTGTGTTTATCAGTTTATTTGACCCACCCTTACCTTATTGTTTTCGCGTTATATCCCGTTTCACCTTACCAAGCGAATACATATTTTTGCTGATATTTTTCCATCGGCGAGCGGAAGCAAGTGGAAGTTTTTAGCGTGACGCACAATTATAATCCATCCCGTGCTCACTTTTGAATATTTAATGCGTGTAGAATGAAGCAAAATAAGGATTTGCTATTCTTGTCGCGGTCACATGAAAACGTATCACGTACAAGAAACCGGATTCCGTATTAATAATAATCCAAAGAGAAATTAAGTTCACTTGATGTTTTTCCTCGAACCCGGGGCCTAGACCGAATTATCGTTTTATCCGCGTTTCGCCGGCATTTTCTAGTCGTTCCTCTTTTTCCTACACCCGTCACGATTAAGGATCGAAGTCACGTACAGCCGAGCCGTCTGTCGATCGCTCAACGATCGTCACGTGTCAGCCGATTTTCCCATAAAACCTGTGGAACGACTTTCGATCGATACCAGCCAACGATTATTATCCGCGTGCTCGGCGATCTTCTGCGGCATCGAGCCTCGATCTTTTCACGATCGCGTTAGATCGTGCTACCTCGCGAACCTGCGATTATCTTCACTACTTTAGATCGCGTTACGAAAAACTCACGCTCCTGCGTTCGATCGCTGTTCCTTGTTGGCCAAGTGTCTTTTCTTTTTCATTTTTTTTTCTAATTTACTGTCGACGCGATTGCTATCAGAGGAGTTGGGAAAAATTCTGAAAGTGAATTGAATTTTCTAGTAATAGAGAAAATAGAATCTTTAAAATTTAGAAAATGGAAATAAAAAAGGATTTCGAATTATATTTAAATCGTTGCCATCTCAGCGACTTGTCATTTAAAGGTTGAAACATGTTTTCAAAAATCAAATTTTCCAGAATTAGCTATCTTTCATCTTGTAAATAATTTTTCAAAAAATTATTAAAGAACAGCCTTTGAGGATGTAACAGAGTGTCTAAGTATTTTTTACAATATTTTCAATTTCAGGAAGTAGCAGGATAACCTAACAGTAGTACTCGCGATCGAAGTTTACGATGTGAATTATTTGACCATCAACCGAAGGAACATTATCCCCATGGTTTTAGCATCAATTAGCGCGCGATTGTGTTTCTTTATCGCGCGTCCATTACAGTTCTCAGAACTGTCGCAATTTTTGCTGACGAAACAGCTCGTCCACTTTTCTCTTTAATTGTCGTAGGAGCTCGACGAGGAACTTTCCTTTTTTTTTTCTCTCTCCTCGTGCCTCGCAGTGACATTTGCGTGTGGCCGAACGGGGATACGTTCGCATCGACACGCTAGACGACAATTAACTCGACAAACCGTGCAACCGTCGTCCTCTCGCCCTTCCATCATTGTATCGGGTCCCTTTCTTGCAACCAAAGAGGGTGTAAACCCGTCATTATTCTGATTATTTTTCCATGCCAGCTAATCACAAGCTGTCACTTGTATCATTGTTTCACTGTGTATCATTACTCCTTTTTTTCTTTCTCCCTCCCTTTCCACCCCCTGCTTTTCGATAACGTTTCGCCAGCCAACGTTCTCTTTTAGGCACCCCAGTTTCGATCATTTGTCGCGAGTTATTTGATCCCACGCCGTTGATACACAGCATAAAAGAGACTCCATTAAAGGGTTGAAAGTTAATCGTAGAAATATTGCTGTATCCTTCAACGAGATATTTCAAAAAGTAATTTACCAAGACGTTGGGTTATATAAAATTAGGTCAATGCGAGGCAGCTGTAATTTTCTAATCCTGAGTGAAGAGTCAAATTTAACTAGGAAAGCAAACAATGATTTCTGCAATGTTTATAATAACAACAAGTTTGCGTTTCGAAACATTAGAAGGTATCGGTTGGACGTAGGAAAAGTGATAAAAGCGGTGCCAAGATGAGCGATAAGTCTCGCCGCGAAATAAAGGGAAAAGGGGCGGGGGACGGTTGAGAGAGGAAGACGCATACATCAGGCGCGAAAGAGATAGTAAAATATAAAATAGCGGGCGACGTGTACTGGTTAGACTATATGTTCTAATTTTAGGCGATTGCCTTGCTCCCTCACCCGAGGATTATAATTAGATACAAAAATACCCGACCGCCACCCACCCACCGAACCGACAAGTCGGCATGTCGAGCGAAAGCGCGGGTGTGTTCACAGATTTCGGTTCCGAAAGCTTGCTGAAGCGCCGTTCGCCTTGTCGTTCTCGCGTTCGTCGTTTTACTTTTGATCGTTCCCGGCGTTCGAGCAGCCTCGGCTCGAGAATCATCAGGGAAAACGGTGTTTTGCTCTACTTCGTCTCGTCTGATTTATTATTGAACTTGCAAACACCGCTGACTAATTGTTAATCTCGGATAATTGATAAGAGTGGACAGACGAATGATTTACACTTTCTGTTCTATGATGTTACTTTATAACTATGGTGTTTGTTTGAAGAATACGTTTTCACTGATGTAATTAATTATTTAATATTATACGAAATTTTACAACAAACAATTGTAGTATAATTTTAATACATTAAAATAATTGAAGAAAAACTAAAAGAAAAGATAATTTTGAATAGTTAACATTGTGGGTTGAACGACATTAATGAAGTTTTAATGTAAGTTTCTTAGAAGCTATTGATTGCTTGGTAGAATCTAGTCTAGTTCTTAAGAAGCAACTTTGTATTGAGCGAAGTGGTGGCCGTAGTTATTCACAAGTTGCGTAAATAATTAATTAACATGACTAGAAAGGATTCAAAGTACGTTGCAGCTGCTATCGGTGTACGTTCACTCACCCCTCGTAGGGACTAGTTTAATATGAAACAGCGAGGCTCGTTTAGGAAAGCAGAGGGGGTAGCTACCCCTAATGCAGGGGAGGTAATTATTATACGAACCAATCGATACTTCGATGAACGACTCAGTTCTTCGTCGAAGGAAAAAAGCACGTTAAGCTCCTTTCATCGAGTCGATTACGTTCCCAAGCGAAAATACTATTTTATTCTTACGGAAAATTAAATTTTTATCGAATTAACGTGATCAGAAATGCTATATTAATACGTATTACGTTATTTTTAGCAGGCAATATTTTATTTCCAACAGAAGGTTTATTTTTATCTAAAAATTCATGATTCCCGAAGATATATAAATATTACTTTCAAACTTGAAATTAATTACTTTTAATAATTATTTTCTAAAATATTCTGCTATTTGAAATATCGTTACTTCAACTGAAACTAAAATTAAAACGACTAGAAATATCATATCGTAATTAAGCACACTAATACCCTTATTCGCGTGTTATTAAAATTAGAACAAGAGTACTGCAAATTAGAACACTATGTAACTGAAGATTTAAACATTTCTGCTCACTGTTGCTTTAGACTAGCGGAGTTATTAGTAACACCAATAATTACCAATTATTTTTAAATGCCAAGAAAGCAGAGTTAATTTCGGTACGTGAGCTCATGCTCTCCCACGCTGCCGTTTCGGATGCATGCACAATGCTTAAATATGTGTCGGCTGGCTGATCTTGCGGATACCATTTAGATAATGCTTTATAATTTACGAAAATCGTATGCTACCGTTTTTTAACAGAACGCGACCGTCGTCGGTTAGTCGATCTCTTAGTTTCGTCTCAAGTGAAATATTCTTTTTAATACGCACGATATTGTCAAAATATTATCCACGCACGTAGATATGCTTTTTAAGTTAAGTTTGTTACAATACCGAGTCGGACGGTCCCACAGAGCTGGTTGATTGTCGGTTAAAAGATCAGCGAACTGTGACAGGGACGTTTCTCTCTGGCGGGCTCATACGCGTACCGGTGACACACGAGGACGAAGAAACAGAAGTAGATACACGAGGAGGAGGAGGTCAGAGGAGTAAGGGGGTGTACCATGAGGAATCATGGTCTCTAATTTTTACGGTGTAGCCACATACGCGCGTTCTTCTGTCCCCGTATTTACAAGTACAACTAGCCGGTCATTAAATCCGATAATTAATCACAATCGTCTCTATTAACGGGGAAGGCTTAATTGCTGTTATCCACGCCGTACTCCGCTAGGAAAGGGGTGGCGTAAGGAGAAGGAGAAGGCGGAGGTGGGACCGGCCCAGGATGTGACTGAAGAATGGGTCCGTCGATCGTTCACCCGTCTTTCCTTCTCTTCGTGACAGATAGCTGTCTTTCGTTAGCTTCTGTGCGAAACGAACGGCACAATTTTATTTCTATTCAATTTTTCCCACGTTCAAAGGATTTCTTTGAATTGCTTCTTTTTTTATAAAAATAAATTAATATAACTTCGAATCGCGTAGACCTTGGTCTCGGAACGAATTCGACAAAATCAGAGAAAGAATATTTTATGAAATCAGTGAGAAATGAAATTTCACGCGTTAATGCACGAAATGTAATGACACGAGGCAAAAGGTATTACGGGTACAGTTTGACGGGTGGAAGCTACTTTCTATGTTTACGTCCACGTAACATTGACGAGGTAACGTCGAAGTTCCACGTTTCCAAAGGAATATGGCTACCACCGGGGCAGCATATAGCCACGTACACGTACGTATTTCCAGACGCTGGTGAAACCCAGCACAAATACCCGGGAAACTCTCACACCGACAGCAATGCCTCGTACCCGGCCATCTACTTACTTTAGTGGTCAGCGCGGAAGAAAAGAATTAGCTAGACGGGGGCGCGTCTCATCTAGGTCACCCACACCACTTACCAGCACAGCCGACACATACGTATCACACACGCGGTGTACACATACCCGAGGAGCCTCATTACGGTGCCACGGTGGCGAGGGGGTGTGCAGCAAAAGAGGCGAGCGTTAATTAAGAACAGACTCACCACCCTCTAAGTAAGGAGCACTGACCAACCTTCTCTCCCTTCTTCCTCACGACCAGCTTACTTCCTTCCTTCGGGTACCTTGCACTTCTACGTTGCTTCATGGTCGCTCGTACCGTCCTCTCACACCCTTTCCAGTCTTCATTCTGAAAGAGGAAAAGCCGAGGATTGTATAAGAAGACGGAAAATTAGAGAAATACAGGAAATGTGTAAAGAAGGAATCGAAGGTAGATGGGATAGGATAGGATTAAAAATGTCAGACCGGAGAAGTATTAGTAAGATCGTGTGATATATTGTACTGGTTCGTTCATTTTTGTTAAGGGTTGCTTTACTTATTTTGAAATACTTTTTACTCATTTCCTTCTCTAAATAATTTAACATCAGTGTAAGAATGAGTATGGGGTTAACTAGTTATTGATAAAAGAGTTAAGTACCGTATAAACAATTTCAGAGTATATAAATTTGTCAATTTTTCTTCGAGTACCATTTTTCATTTGACCCATTTGTTCATCGACGAAGAGGAAAGATTCGAGTGTCGCACCTTCGTCAGCTTTCGAATCACGATGAAACATAGTGGAACGATGATCAGTCGATCTCATCGTGACGACACAGGGGCACACATGTTGCGAATGTCGCACAATAACAGCTCCTCTTAAGCCAAAAAAAAAGTCACCCAACTGTTCATCCCCTTCTGAGCGTTATAAGCTCTCGCGACCAGGGGTGAGCCGTGCCTGATTGTTTCCAACAGGTTTGCCATCTTTTGTTTCAGTCCGTTCTCATGCGCGCCAGAACTGGTCATTGCTCGAACCCTAAAAACGGTTGAACAATGACCTTCGTGGCCGTTACATTGCATTGCAATAACGACCCCTATTTCCCAGAGTACCGAGAGAGTAATTTTCGATAGGATGGGAATTCATTTCAAACTGTCAACGCCGTTTAATCGACGATTTCGAACGATTTCGACGGCTTCTTCTGTCATTGTTCGAACTTACACGGGGATACATCGACCGTGTAATTTAACGTCACAGCTTTTCCAATCGTCGATGTCCCTTTTAAAATTTATTTTTCTCATAAGCGATCGTAATGAAAGGATTACGCTTGAAATCTGACTTGATCATCCAGGGGTTAAAAAATAAATCATTCTGAATATTAATAATAATGTAAAATATAAAATAAATTTCGAACATCATGGATAGTTGATTTAATCGTGTATCTTGCTACGTACGGCTACTTCTGTTACGGTGATCAACGTGTTAATTGTGCACTTTCATTTGTTCACCGCAAAAGGGAACTTGATGGAGCGAAAGGTTCTGACTTAGGAAAGTAGCGAAAGCCTATAGTAGACACTTCCCTTATGTAATTGTTCGTCTCATCAATGGAACTTACACATTCTGATGGACAGCTGGTTTCGCCCGTATTTATTTACATGGGAATCGAGTGAAATGACGTTAACTGCTGTCTGGTAATCGCGTTGACTTAAACGACGTTTTAGCGTCATAGCTGTTACGATAAACATTGATTCATATGTATGACACGAAATTTATGTAGAATAAAAAATATGTTTGTACCCATATAATGAAATGCACCCTACACGTCATAGGCGTCCTCGCTTCAGAGTTTTATTAATATTTTGTTATAGATTCTGTCTTTCGCTGTCACATGAAGTGATATGAAAAATTCAAAATTCTCAGTTAATTAATGACAATTAAGTGTCAGATTGAAAAACAGCAAGTATCGATGAAGAAAATAGACAAATCCGAAAAATTAAACAAACGCCTTACTGACATGCTGATCTTTCGGCATAGAGAGGCATCTCTGGATTCAACCCTGTCGCTGAAGACAAGGAAGATAGAACGAAGAAACGAAGGCTACTCCCTTCTTACAAGGCCACGTTCAGGAAGATAAGAAAGGCCAGAGGGAGGAAATCAAAGAGTAAAAGGGATGAGAAGAGACTTGGCAATCCGAATGAACGAACTACACCGCATACAGGGTCTTAGCAGGACTTAACGAATATTGCCGTCGATATCCAGAAGCCCCCTATACGACGCTTCTCATCCCGCCATCGAACTTTCTTTTGTCCCTTCCCTGAAACGCGTTACCGAGGAGGTTCGCTGATCGATTCCGAGGTTGGTCAAGTTAATTTAACGTGCACGTTAATTTGTTACCATGGATTTTGTATTCGAGGCAATTCTGCTCGCCTACTGATTCGATATTTCGCTTTTTCTCCCTCCCTTCACCTTTAACCCGTTTAAAATATTCAAGAACAGAGTAATTTGAGTTAAAGAAATTCTTTGTTCAATCGCAGCAGGAAGTATACACTTCATGTCCTTATTTCTCATTTCAACGCTGATTCGATTGTATTTTAAATAATTGTAATTATAGGGAAAGGGTTGAACTTATGTCCATAAGTCAATTTCCAATTTTCCTATTTAGAGTTCTTAAATTAAATCTCTGCGCCTCTAACAGGAAACTTGATATAAATTCGTTCATCCCTTAAATTAAACCTCTGATTGCTTCGTATTTTCTCTCTTTATTCCAATTGGTCATGCCCGATGATTAATGTCCTAAGATTACAAATAAATTGCTGAAATGTATGAGGCTTAAAAAAAGTGATGAAAAAAACTGAAAAAATTAGCAAAAAAATACGCGGTGGAGCGTAGACTCAAGGAGGATTACATCGAATTACCGGGAATGAGGACAATAAAACATCTCAGTTTCGTGTTGAACAGAAACGAAGGCTATCAGTTACTTCGTTACGCCACTGTTTTCTCCTGCATACGGTAGACGAAGAGATTCCAAGTGAGAAAGTTGAAAGGAGTCGGACGACAAGGCAGATAAATTAGTGCTAGTAATGAAGACTGAGTCCGATGTCTGATTAAACAAACACAGGGAAACACAAATAAGTAAGAAGGACGGGAACGGGAAAAGGAGAAGCGTTAAAAAGGGGGAAAAAAGGAATAGAAGAAAAGGAGTAACGCGAGGCAGGAGAAAGATAGAGAACGAGGTGGAAGATGAAGAATCTCTGAGTCTTCAGACGTTAAAGTTTTATTTTGCCTCTAATTAACTAAAGTAGCTTAGTAGTACGTTTAAAGACGTTGCTACTTATCCGTTTTCCTCTTTTCTTTTTTTTACTCTTCTTCCATCTCTCGCACCTTTTCTCATTTATCTTGTTTTTTAGCCTATTCTCGTATCCACGTACCGGTGTTCGTTCCCGGAGACGAGCCCATCGTGGCTTCGTAGAATGTTCGTTGTTTCATTTTCGTCGCACGTCCTCAAAATGAAAATGTATGAGCGCGTATAATACATAGAGAATAGTTTTGACCGGGCCGGTTAGCGGAGCATGAATCTCATCGAGTCACTCAAGGCTGAAGCTCTCGAAATTACGCGGGATGAATTAAAAATAGCGGTCACTAAATCGTGAAAACAAAATTCACCTGGATTTATGGCCGCTTTTTGAGACTTCCAGTCACGAGCTATTAGTCGTAGCCGTTTGCGAAAAATACCGAAAATAATCATCGGACGTATAGCTCGTTGGCTGACTGCTAACAGGTTTAGATATACAATTTTTTTTCTACTTTCATTTCTTTTTCTTTTTCTTTTTTTTTTTGAAAAACTTATAAATTTGATTATACCGAAATACTCGACTGAAACTATTAAAAGATCCCTATTGGTTTGTTACTAGGGAGATCGTCACGATCCGAAGTGCACCGCTGCCGTTGAGCTGATACCAAAAATAATTAGGGTGATAATCATTTTGAAGTGAAAAATGATGGATAAAATTTTGCGAACTCATTAAATATAATCATACGCAGGTCCTGTTATACAGGTAAACCACCCCTAAAGATGATTACAAGCATCCGAATGGTCGCCTTAATATTCGAATTTCACGGCGGGAGGGAAAAGTTAAGAAAAGAAAAGAAGGCACCAGGTGGTCGTTGGACGATGCTCGCCATCGGACAGTACCGCGGTGGCCGCGAGTCAATTTATTTATAATCCTTGCTTTTTTTTTAAACCGCCCGCCAGAGAAGAATTAGCGTCTGCGGATACTGCGTAGCCAACTCGATCCAGGACGATGAGAACGGCGCTAGGTGAAAAAATAAGCGGACGATAATAATTATTATCAAGCCAAGCCAGATCATGGCTACGCCGGAGGTGGAGAAAAAAGATACGAATCCATGACGCTGGGCTGCCAGGCAAGGACGTTCAAGTTTAAACGAAAATAAAAATTCCTTCTCCGATACTAATTATAGAATACGCTCATCGAGCAACTGCTGCTTGAATTATATCGATACATGTACGCCAACGAATTATACCGGGTGTCTAGACCAATTTCCTAGTTCCCTTAAAAAAAAAAGATTAATGATCTAATTTAAACGCGACAAATTTCGAGCTATAAAGTTTGAATTTCCAACTTCTGGATGACGGTCTTCAAAGGGGGTGCAAGGTGTTTTCGATTGATAGCCGCCATTGTTAGATGTAACAGCGATTTTTAATAAATGATGACAAGTGATTTAATATCCACAGCGTCGGATAATTAATTAATATTAAATAGTAAGCTAAAATTGATAATCTGTCCTTCTTTGCCTTATTGAAATGCCCTTTTGTATCAGTATGCTTGAATTGCTTGAAACTACGCAAATATCTTTCTTCTTCAATTTGGATTACATTTACAAATCATCACGATTTTTGTCTGTTTTTCAGATTTGCGTTGAAAATGTGACACCGATGGAAACACGAAGAATGAAGACCGTGGTACAAATTCCGGAACGGTGAGTCAGTGATTAATTAACGGCACCGTTCTTTGTTCGGCCTAGCAATTATTTGACTTGACAATCGAAGCAATTATCCATCGTAGCGGCACACCTATCCAGGTACATACGTTGACTTATCTTTCTCCGAGAATGGGTGTAGGCTGTGTTGTGCTACTAAAATGCTCACGTATCAGATGGTAACCATCGATGATCATTGATCATTGTCAGTTAAATTTATATGGAACAAAATTGTTAATGCGATTATTTCTGCCATCAACTGTATGAGATTAGCGTGCCCTATTTCTCTATCTTCTGATTTAATTGAAGAGCAATCAATTATAATTACAGTCACCCAAATTTCGAAGAATTTACAAACCCCCATAGAGTAATCAATA